GGCTTACATTGCTTAACAGTCTTCAAGAAGTCTTTTCAAACCCCCAAAAGCTTTTGGAGAAGAAAAGCATAGTGAGCCCCTGTCACATTCAAGCGAGGGCACTTGGTGGCACATGCCGAGCTTCAGAAGGTGTTGGAATAATCTAAAATGGTTGAATATAAGGTGCCGGTGATCTTTTATGACTGCGCGATGCATCGAGAGCAGCTCCATCTGTCTTTTCCCCCTTTTCCTTAGCCCCTTTTTCACACACTGTCACAGTGGTGAAGCAAGAAACATCTGGTGGTCGCTGGGCTTGATTGCACTGGGCTTTTCTTGTTCTTCACATAGGACGTCCAAGCAGGGGTCATTTTGTAGAAAAAGAGGTGCAGGAGCTATGCCGACTTATCTGAAGGACTATGAGTGTAAATACTGTTGGAATAACTGATGTACAAAGGTTGATTGTATGTATGTAAATAATAAAACAATTGGGATGATGGCTTAACTTAGGGGGGAGGAATTGTAATGTATTGAAATGATTACATGAATCACCTCATAGGACTCCCGTGTTAAGCTTCGAGCCAGACCAGGGCTCCTCTGAGCGAACTTCCTATTGGTCGCTTCGTAACAGCGACCAATCAGAACGGTACCATTCCCTAGGAGGGAAAGACTCCCATTGGTCTTTATTCTAGCAATCTCATTGGTTGTTATTTGTAAATAGGCGTGGCTACATTAGCCCGGTTATGTTTAAAAGGAGCATAAGCTCCCACTGTTTTCTGTTCTGGTTTCTTACTGAGTTAGTGCTTGTTCGTTACTTCAAATAAAGCTGAATCACTTGCTGAATCACTCTACGAGTCCTTTGTTAGCGCGATCTAACAGAAACCCTCAACAATGGGAAGGCGTCCTGCCTCGGAACTCAGGATAAGTATTTCTATTTTATCTCTTTCAATAAAGTATGAGCCTGGCCAACGCAGGCTATCCCACATATGGTCAATATATTACATGGTGCTACGGGTTCTATTTGGGTACACATCTGCATTGGATGCAGGCCAGCAATTAGTACCCTGTCCGGTCCATGTTTTTTCAGTGTGGCCTCCGGGGAGATGTTAAGTCCACAGCTCACTATAGGAGTAATTTCTTCCTATATTTCAAGAAGGCACCTCTGTAAAGGAACATCCAGACCACTGATGTGTATTCACTGGGAATATTCTTATTGTTGCTCCTGCATCCACCATGGCTTACATTGCTTAACAGTCTTCAAGAAGTCTTTTCAAACCCCCAAAAGCTTTTGGAGAAGAAAAGCATAGTGAGCCCCTGTCACATTCAAGCGAGGGCACTTGGTGGCACATGCCGAGCTTCAGAAGGTGTTGGAATAATCTAAAATGGTTGAATATAAGGTGCCGGTGATCTTTTATGACTGCGCGATGCATCGAGAGCAGCTCCATCTGTCTTTTCCCCCTTTTCCTTAGCCCCTTTTTCACACACTGTCACAGTGGTGAAGCAAGAAACATCTGGTGGTCGCTGGGCTTGATTGCACTGGGCTTTTCTTGTTCTTCACATAGGACGTCCAAGCAGGGGTCATTTTGTAGAAAAAGAGGTGCAGGAGCTCATTAGCATAACTCATTAGCATAACTTATTTGCATGTGCCACACCCCCTGACATCACCGGAAGTGTGTCAGAAGGCAACACCCACCGCTCAGGCTTCACTGAACTGTTTTGAATTGCTAGCT